CTGCTCCTAATCTATTTCTATTATCAATGCATTTGTGATCAATAATATCGCATAAAGGATATAAAATATCACTTACAAATATAGTTCTAAACTTATCATTTGTAACAGAAGAAGACTTATAAATTACAATCATATTTTCTACAACACTAATCATTGTGTTATATATTATTAATGGTAAACCATTGTTTTTATTAAATAATTCTAAGTCAATTCCTACAGTTAATTCTTCAATGTTCAATGTGTGTTTGAGAAGTTTAAGTGCGCCAGTCAAAAATAATTTTACTAATAGTCCGAAATCATTTGGTTCATTAATAAAATGTTGTTGCATTCCACTGTTGGTAACTAACAACTTATAACAATCAAATACATCACTGTGTAAATCTTCTATAGTTCCTTGTAGTCTGCTGATAAATGTATTAATCAGCAACCTTTTAACTTCAACTTTAATATCCAACTGATCAGTTCCCAAACAATTTTTTATATATGCCCAACCATTTTCATCTGTAGAAGATGTTTTACATAGCCATTGTAAAATGAGATCTTCTTTACGAATTATTGGTATGTCGACTGTACAGAAAACATTTTCTGCGAGCTTTAATCGTTTCGCTAACGGTTCTTCATCCGAATTCAAGCGTTTTAATAATTCTATCGAATACAAAAATAGGAACATTTTGTATAAATGTTTAATTTAAGTTATAATTGATCACGTGTACTTACCTGTTGATAAAGCCATTTTAAACAATTCCAAATTTGAAATCAATGTTCTAGTCTTAAATATATCCGCATGGAAGTAATTTCAGTCTTCTCATTTCATATCATTACAGCAGTAGGTTTATCACATGGCCGGCTGCACCGCCACACATAAACAGTAGGAAGCATTGAGAAAACGCAGCGAATTGTTGTGCTCCGATTGGTTGACAATTCACAGCTGTACAGTGCTGCCCTCATAGTCAATAACAAAGGCAGGAAATAGTGAGTGAGCAAGCAGCATGACATCAGGCACATCCATGCGAAACGAGTTACACCGACACCAATGTAGTTTATCTCATTTTACCGTGCTTGCAATCTCGCTCTTTCCGCGCATCCGTACACCTGGCACTCTATCTGAAATACGCGGCGCGATATTCGACTTGTACTTTTCGCCTCGAAGGATTCTTGACCTTTGCCAGCGAATTTGCGAACGATGCTCAATGCACATTGAGATATGTTTCGAATATATGTGTTTGTAGGCAATATTTCAACAAGTTGAGCAGGATAAGGTCCAGCTAATTATTGCATTGACTTGAATATTAGCGTAGGAGAATAAATGTTGCAAGTGAATAGTGTAAACTTCATATCTTTTTCTGAAAGATGAAATACGATCCATTTTAATGAATAAATGCCATTTTGCCATGAACATGAGTATTCGCATGAATACCGTACATATGTGATGGTAAATGGGAAACCCTGGGAAACTGGGGCGGTCACTGACACTGCCATGTATGTATACAAAATGATTCCAAATGACAATCAAATGATAGTTCTCCAATAGCGTAATGCTCTACATACTTAAATTTGATATTACAAAATGTAGATAACTCATATTTCAACTCACTAAGTGTAATAAAAGTATTAAAAGCGTTAATATAATGTAATTAATAGGCATATATTCAAAATTAAAAGAGAAGTTTGTTCATATTTTATATATGCTACTTTATTATAACATATGTGTATGGGTCTATAATGAAATAATTAGATACAATTTTTTTATATAAGTTCAGTTTTGCAATTAATAACACTACTTTATTATGTATCCAATGCAGAGTACTGAGATAATGTTACCTCATTGGAATTCTGTATTGCATCACTACGTTCTTGTTGTTCACTTTCCATAACATTATATTGGTCATACGAATTGTATTCTTGTTCTGGTACATACGATTCTAAAGCTTGGTGATCAATTGTATTTTCATGGCCATCGTTTTCATTTTGATTTTGTTCATACATCTGAGTATTTGTTATATCGTTCTTTGCCTCATAATCCACAGTGTACTCTATTTTATCGGACAAGTCGGATTCCAATGGTTGATTATTCATTTCATTGATTTTCATATCATGTTCCTGATAAATTATGTGAGGTGCTGTTGCAATACTCGTATTCTGTGCTTGCATTAATGTATTAGGTGATATGTCTCTACTTTCCATCGATATGGTTCCTAAAGATATAATACTATTTTTAAAAGAATCTTCATAAATAAAATATTAAGAATTTGCATAGAAAATACTACCTTGTTGGTTATTAAAAGTATTTTGTATCTTGTCAGACAAATACTCTATGTTGTTTTGTAAACTGGCCATTTCTTCCCTGAGAAATAATGGACGTTCAAATACAATTTAACTTATCTTTCAAACGAAAAAATTCTATTTATATATCCTTCTATACTTATAATTAACAGAATATTTCACTTAACTTTATCATCTAAAATGTTTTTATTATTATTACAATACCATGAAAATGTTTGCAATAAATGCATTTCTTTGTTTAATAATAATAAAAATATTTTGGGCAATAAAGTGAAATAAAAGGTGCTATATGTGCTATTACTGTGTTGAAAGAGGTACCTTTAAAAACTTTTACTTTTGTTTGGGAGCTACTTTTACTTTTAGATCAATCTTAACAGTGCGTCTCTTGTTTGAAGCTGTTGTAGCTTTTCCAATTGTTGTTACATCTCTGTCAGTGACTCCCTCTGTCAACACAGAATAGCCCCAATTGTATTCAATGATATGATGTAAATATCCATTACTTATCAAACAATATGTATGCACATGTAAGAGAGCATTGTTATGCACCAGTAAGAAAAGAACAATGGGACATATTTTCTACACTGAACTAAGAATATACTTGTGCTTCAGGCTGTTAGCTTCCAAACGCTGTGTGAGAGATTGGCATTCAGCCGTCAGTCGAGAGACGATCGTAGCCTGATTATTCAAGGCATCTTCTAGACCAGCCACTGTAGCAGCTAAGAAATGCAATCCTATTAGTCAATTTTTAATAAATTGACTAATTCCATTTCTGCCCATGCTAGGCATAATGTCAGCATGCCGATATCCCACACACACACAACATGAATTTGCAAATAATAGTAAGGAAGTAGAACTTCTCAAAGACAATATACCTAACATAGGCACACGTGTAGAAATTGAAGTCTTACCATGTTTTGTTTCCATATCTATTATCATAGAAGCCAATTCCTTCCCATTTTCCGATTTCGTTGGGTCTTGTACGTTAAGGTCTTCCGAGCCTAGAGGTTTATTTGCGTTGATCTGAAAAAAATACAGTGGCTACTTATACAGGCAAATTCGAATTTGAACGTAACCATTGATCAATTTCAATAATATTTATTGTTCAATATTTACCTCTTTTTCCAAAGAAGCTATTTGTTCTGAAAGTCTTAAATTTTCTCTTCTTAGGTGAACTAGATCAGTTTCTGTCCTCTCCAACCGTTGTTTGTATGAATTTATTTCAATTTGTAGTCTACTTTGTTCTTGGCGATTTTGTCTTTCGTTTCGTTCAGCAGCTAATTTTATTGCTAAAACCTCTTGTTCAGCGGCATCCTTCTCTGTTAGTGCTTGATTCAAATCACTTTGTAAATTCGCTATATAAAACATAAATTATCAAATGTTACTGAATAATCCACTAACAAAATTTATAATTCAGCCATGTAACTTACATATCTTGTTTTGTAATTCTTTCTTTATATTCTCAATAAACGTTTGTTTCTGAGATAATTCTCTTCTAAGTTCTGTCAATTCTCTACGTTGTTTTTCAGATTCTAATTGAGATCTATTGGCTACATCCCAATGGGAAGCTACATCAGCAGATAATTGTTCAACTTGCTGACTATACCTACGTTCTACATGTTGTCTCTCTTCAGCAATACGCTTACTTGCTTCTTGAGTAGCTTCTCGAAGTTTGCCGTGTTGTCTGTCCAATTCGTCTTTCAATCTCTTAATTTCCATATCACTTTGACTTTTTTCAAACTGAATTTGCTGCATAGCATCTCCAGTTTGTTTTATTTTTTGTAATGCTTCGGTTTCCTGTTCTCGTATGGAAGTTAAAGTTTTTTGTAAATCTTGTACTTTCATCTCAGCTTCGTATTTAGCACGTAAAGCTTTCTCCAACTGTATTTTCATTTCAGACGTGTCATTGTTTAAACAACTTGTCGACATTTGTTTTAAATTACGTTGATTTTCCTCTTGCACTTTACGCAACTCTAGTTTTGCTTGAGTTAGTTGTGCTTCTAATTCGCTGATTCTCGATTCAAACACAATATTAGGACCTTCCATCGTTTTAGATTTCTTGATATCACAAGTTTCAATTTGAACTGACTTTTCTTTATCGCTCTCATTATCATTTTCATCGACATGTGAATATTCATCAAGTACACATTTAAAAAATCCTGTTTTATTTTTATAATGTAGAGCCTCATTTTCAGCTACAACCTAAAATTATTGGAGTAAACTTTCTGAGCAACCGATAAAAATTACTAGTACCCAATTAAAGTAAAATACCTCTCGAACTTTGTGTAGTAACTTATTTAGTTGATTTCTGCAGAATTGCGATTCTTGTTGTAATTGCTGGATGTATTCCTCTTGTTGTTCAATAAAAGAATTTAATTCTGGGGGCACAGACTGTGAGTCTGTACTTAAAGATGCTAAATTGTTATACGTTTTCGTTGAACGCATATTTTTACATGAAGTGAACTGTGTATTTAGAACTCTATTCATATCCTCAGGTAAATCGTTTATTGTACAATGGTTAACTACCAAACTTTTATCATTGGCATCTTCTTTGGATTCATTAATTTTTATGTTACTAGACTGATAATCTTTAATGCTCTGTGATTTTCTGCATGGAAATTATTTTACCTTTAATATTATTTATGCATACATCATATATGTATATATGTCATCATATATCTACACTATATGTATATTGTATATACAGGATGTTCGATTATATGTCAAATATTTTAAGAAGCAATTCTATTCTTGTAAAATGAAAATCAAGAATGGCGATTTTGCTGTAATTGCTTTGTTTTTAAGCTTTTTGTCTTTATCTTTTACACAGTATGCCACTGTCTATACATATCTTGACCAGACTTACACACCAGACTTTTTGTTGGATCAGAGAACTTTTTACAATTATTATAACTTGAAAACAAAGTCACTACACCAAAATTAGCAGATTTACTTCAAATATTGGACACACAAAGTCAAACACTCTATATAATATATTTTACCCCAACACTGGTTTTGAAACATAAGATTCAGCAAGCAAATACTTTAGCTTGGAAACAGCTTCTCTATAAGCCATTTCTGAATAATCTATAGATTTCTTTTTACTCGAATCTAATTTTTGAATCCCATTGGCCTTCCTATAAAATAAAAATGTACACATGTGGAATCGAATATAACAAAAAAAAAGAAACACTGTAACACGATTACTACTTACTTGGATTTTAAACTTAATCTTTTCATTCGAACAGAATTTACAGGATCTGTGTAATTAGAAAAATTACTCTTTATCTTCAAGTAATTTCGCAAAGGGAAATTACTGCGTGCTAAATATGCAGTTGGACTTCCCGCAATAGTTGCCGGTATACTACTAAGCTGACGTCGATGTTCACAGTTCCTAGTTTCAAACATTCCGAGTTTGTTTAGCCGATATCGTCGGATCGTTGTTGTATATAAGAACGTGTGCTAATCAATGAACTAAGTATTCATGTGCCCAAACACAAGTGAATTGTTCGGAGTAACGCTTAAGAAAATCGAAGTTCGACTCGACCAAACATAGGCAGACCTTGTTACTTGATCGCGTGCTGAATGATCGTTCATGCTTCGCGGGATCAGGCACGGTACCATCACGCACAGACATTCCGTGACTTATCAGAATATCTGTCAGACCTACAAGCTTTCGTTGTACACATTTTTCGTATAATTTCAAAAAATTATAATTAAGATGTTTGAGAAATCTATTATAATAATAATAATAGCATAATTTGTTAAAGATAGAATTCTTTAATAATCATTAATAACTGATAACAGGAAATTATTATTATACATATATACAATTTATATATTATATATTACTTTATATAAAAAATAAATACCATGTTTTTCTTAATCATTTGTAATTCAAGTTAAAAATAAAATTTCAGTTAGTTCAATGATTTCATTTTTTAGACTATGTGATATGCTCTTGTAATAAATTTCTCGGTTCTGTTGATGTGTTATCGTTTTCTGTAGCTTGTTCCGAATGTAATGTATTATACGCTGAAAAAAATTATAATTAATCTGTTGAAATATAAATTTTTTCGTGACTGATATTTACGTTACCTGCACTATGAGAAAACGATTTTATACATAAAATTGCTGCAAAACCAAAGATTGCAGAAGCACTACACACATATGCCAATATGTCTCTATAGTAATTTTCCGAGTTGATCCAATTATCTCTAGAGAAAAAGGTATAAAATATGCAAATTATAACGAAATTGAAATACTATTAAAACCGAAAATGTAATATATGTGCTGACAAGTATTGAATGATTATTACTGCTAAACCATTGGATAGTTTATCTGTGAAACTCATTACACCATATACAAATGCGCCGTTATCTGTGTTCTGCCCAATAAAGTCAGCGATAAGACCGAGGCTAGTCACTAACATGACAGAACCAGCAAATCCTGCAGAAACAAAAATTACTTAACTTATAAGTATTCTATATATTTTTCACAATTAATAATACTTTTAGATAGTATTAAATGGTATTACCTAATATTAAAGACACTGGATAAATTTGATAATTTGTGTATGTTATGCCTGTGCCGCATCGAATCCAAATACAAGCAGATATACCCAACATAACACCCAAGCAAAATGAAATTTTTCTGCCTAGTTTTGTGTTTAATTTTTCTATAATTAAAGACATTACAAAACTACTTAAAAACATTATTAAGGGCATTATAGCCAAAGATGTAGCTGGCATATGTAACGATTTGTGTAAATACAAAGGCATATAAATTTGTAATAAATTTACAAACAAACGCGTACATATATAAACGCAAGCCACTTGATATAAACGTGCATCTTTAAATAATATTGTTACAGGCCTCGTATTTCTGTGAAGTACTCCTAAAATGAACCAATTACTATTAATGAGATTTTAATTATTTTATAGCAAATATAAAGAACAATAAGTATAGTGTCAATCTAACCATCAGAGTCACTGATGACTCTTTCCTTAACGAAGATGTGGAACAACATTGATGCCAGGAATCCTACACCAATAACGATAAATAGAATTTCTTGAAATTTCTTTGCATCATTGGGGCCAATTTGAGAATCGGAATCATTACTGTTTGTTATATGTAACACTGCCCATGTGATACAATAAACAAAAATATTTGACAAAACAGTGAAACTGTACCTGCAAAAGATCATAATAAATGTAATAGAATATTTTTCTTGCACGAACATTTAAGAAAATTTTTAAATAATACCTAATAGCTATGAGTTCTGTTCTTTCACATTCGGTAGGTGTAAGTTCTGGGGCTAACGACAAATGAGATATTTGGACTGCAGCCCAACCAAATTGAAAGATTACAACAAATGCAGCATAATAAATTAATTGAGCCCATTTATCACTTGTCTCACATCCGATGCATGGGGAAAATACGAAAGGAAATGCAAGTAAAATGCATAAGGTTCCTATATAAAAGATATAATTTCATAAATATGGTTATAAAAAGAATGTAGAGTATATATACCTATTAAATGCCATGTTTTCCTCCTTCCATATTTACAGAACCAGAATTTATCGTAACTATCAGAATGAAATCCAATGAACGGAGTAGCTATGGCATCTGCTATTTGACCAATGAGTAAAATTACTCCAGCCAGCATAGCATTGAATCCCAATACCAAATGGAAGAACACTAACAAATATGTGAACCACATAGAAGCACAAACATCATTTAAAATGTGCCCTATGCCATACGATAGTTTTACAGAAAGTTGTAAACGTTGAATTAGATCGTTATGATTACTGGTTGTACTTATTCGTCCTGTGTCCATTATGTACTATAAAACACATATATGTGTATAATATCATATTTTGTGTAATGTCAATATAGTGATACATATCATCAATATCGTACTTATTTAGTATATCTTCAATCTTCAGAAATTCCAGGTCACAGAAAATTCTTAATATATTTATATATTTGCAATACTTCATTTAGGATACATTCTTTTCTACACTTATTTTGCTAGAATATACAAAACTGTTTGATTTATTTCTTTGTATCTTTGATTGATATTTCATACTGAATATATAACCTATTTAATTCTTACTCAGGTTATGTATTATAGCTGCATACGTTGCCGTCGTCAATTTCAGATCTTTACATTTATTTAGTTATATTGCAAATAAAATTCTTGAGACACAGAACTATTTTATCATGTGCACAACGATTAACAATAGAACTTATGTAGACCGACAGTAGCTGTAGGTGGAAACGTTAAGTATGATTCATTCATAATAATTCTGAGATAGTGATGTGAAACATGAACGCAATTTTTAAGTATTCATATACTCATAAATAATGTCATCAATTGTATCCATTTACGTAACGAGTGACTATATATTGTTAGTTTTCTTCTTCTTTACACAAAAAATTACTACGTTTTATAGATGACATTCCACAACAAATCAGTCTAAGTTCAAAAAAAGAAAAAAAATAAAGGAAGCACTAAAAAAATAATAACTTTTCATAATGATATTTTAATGCTCATATTTTTATATTTACATTTTATTATAACAGATAACGTTTAATCTTATATTCTATAGATACTAAGGTATCTAACATTAAATCTACATTGTGTTTATGAACTATATGATATTTAAAAGTTTAGACACATGTATATTATAATATCAAGTGAATTTAATGCATCAAGCAATATTTCTATATGACTAATATTATTATCTTTTCTTAATATTAATACTATATCATTGAATATAATATAGAATACTTCTGAACATAATGTTTATAATACAATAGTAATTTATAGACCTATACATATTTTTTATTTTGTTTAATATACTAACAATATTTTCTCAAACGCTAAGAGATGATCTTGAATTTATATAAAATTGATGTCCTGAAAACAGGAATGTGAGAACATAAATACATGCTGCAATCCAACAATTGTATGCATTCTGTGTGTAGCTCCTGTCTGCTTCACGGTAAAAGTGATCAGAGTCCTCAAATGTACCCTCCAATGGAAGATCTTCTACTAAAGCCACGCTTTTAACATAAAAGAATATTCCCATCAGGAACTGAAAATCAAACAAAATATAATCTAAACTGTTCCATGACAGGTTTTGTGATCTTAATATACAATATGCATACGTCTTCGATATATTTGACAGTATCTAAATATTTGGGGAAGATGGTGTATAAATGAATACAATTAGAATTACTCATTGAATATAAAATTTTTTAATTAATTTTTCTGAAAATTAAGAGTATATCGAAATTGAATCTAAAATAATACTTACTAACTGAAATATACCCCAGGTAGATAATATCAAACCACATAGGGCATACTTGGGTCCACATATCTTCATTTTCCCCAAAAGATTGATTTTTCCCGTTTCGTACGAAATAACCTAATATATAAAGAACTTATCACACTGCTGTATCGCTACGCCCTGAGTGTAATCATATGATTTTCATTCACGAATACACATCGACGACAACTATCGATATCTCGAAGATATACGCGTAGTACATCCGGTATTTAAAATTTCACTATTCACAACATAATATTTTTATCGTATAACTTTAATATATACAGCAAAAGCTTACTATTATAATTAAGTAATTATAGACGTTTTATATTATTATATTAATAATGATCCATGATAATGATCTATCCATGACAGAAATATGTATAATGCGTATATGTTTTATGCTAGTATTTGCAGAAGTTTTTACGAAGGAAGCTTCTGATTAGCGCAATAACTCCGTTGTGAGTTTCGAATAATCAAAAACCATCTGAATGAAATTATAATTAAATTTGATATCATTATGTATGTATGGTGTCATATATGTATTCGTATTGTACATATTGCAATTACAGCGTGCAGTCTATTATTAATAATCGGATATGTACACATGTAGTTAGATTTACATGCAGAAGTTCTAATTTTTCGAAAATATTTCCATTAAATATTTAATAATGTTATTTGGTCCATTATATTTTCGTAATAACGTATAAAAATTAATTTTTTGTAAATCCACACATTGAAATTGTATCCATTATGAATGCGACCAGAGAGCGACAAATCATAGAGAAATATGGATGTGATTCATACTTCCTGTTGTTGTCAGCCCTGATTCATAGGATCATGGTTGACCGATTGGGTTAGTTTATATCCCATTTATTATCAATTAATTAATGTTACGAATTGCGTGGAAATTTTGACCAATTTCCTACAGAATACTTCAAGATTTGTAATATTTGTTTTCCATGATTGAATAATTTACGTGTTGCATAGCCTACGATTTGTGACATTTTTATTGAATAACGGTGAAGTTTAGTTGCTTGTGTTTTTGACAGTTAATAATATATGATCTACCAAAGAATAATCGATATTTAATCAAATTCTATTTATTGATGTACATTTTATTGAAAATATATCGACGGTCATTTAATGTATTTGCGATTTGTTGTAGTGCATAGCATTGTTAATGGCATTTAACTTATTTTTAATATGTATTGCTACTAGACTCGTAATATTAAGTACAGATCAAGAATTGGAAGATCAACAAGCTTATGTTCCATAACTTGTGACATTCGTATAGGATAAAATAGTACAATAGTTCTTATTAACGATAGTATATATATTATACATTAATTGGTGGAAGATAAAGAATCAAGGAAAATAACCATTTCTTACATTCTATACATCGATGGAAGCAGCAAACGAGTATAAATGAAACCGTATTTATCTCTTTTATGATATGTTGCAGTAAATAGCGAAGCCAATGCCAGGCGTATTGCTATGGTCGAAAACTGCTTTGGCAGTTCTGGCCAGGTAACGTTAAAATAGTAATTACAATTATTTAATACTATAAGTCTCTATATTATTAAAAAATAACAAATCTTTAAAACTTTAAATTTCGTTTAAATTAATTCAAATATGTTATTTATTTTAGCCACTTGCAGTACCTGGAAGAGTTTTGGTTGGCGAAGGAGTCTTAACTAAAATGTGTAGAAAGAAACCAAAACCAAGACAGTTCTTTCTATTCAATGATATATTGGTTTATGGAAACATTGTAATCAACAAAAAGAAGGTGCTTTAATGAAGTTTTTGTTACAAACTCATAAATACATTTACAAATTCATAGAGATCAATCAAATCTTTTTCACCTAATTATAAAACAAATTAATACTCTTTGTATCAACAGTATAACAAACAACATATTATACCGCTCGAAGAAGTAAAACTGGAATCTTTGGCCGATGATGGTCGTAAGTTACATTTTTATTATCAGTTTGTTATAAACATTATCTTATGAATTGTGCTTGAAATAAATTTTTGAAAGAAAGAAAAAGATGTAAAAATTATTAATGAATCAATATTTTTATCGTAATTGTCACTTTTTAATTTATGATAGTTTCAGCAATTATTTTTGGGTTACTAATCTACTTATATCGCACAGATTCAATGTTGCAAATGTTTCTAATTACACGAAGATAATATAGTAATTCATCGTTATTTATAGAATATCGTAATGGTTGGCTTATAAAGACATTAACAAAATCATTCGCTGTTTATGCTGCCACTGCAACAGAAAAACAAGAATGGATGGCTCATATTACAAAGTGCATCGAAGATTTATTAAGAAAGAGTAAGTCATTAAAATTACCTTACCTGAAAAGTATAACTGAAACGCTTGAAACTTATAAATGTATGGCATATAATAGGTGGTAAGAAACCAGTTGAAATTCATGCAGCTGTTTGGGTACCAGATAATGAAGCCACAATCTGCATGCATTGCAATAAAACACAGTTTACAGTTTTAAATAGACGGGTATATATATTAGCGCATTTTTTTAAAAACTTGCTGGTGCTTATATTTTTTCTATATTTAAAGTATTTTTAACATCTTGTAGCATCATTGTAGACAGTGTGGAGCTGTAGTATGTGGACCTTGCAGCAATAAAAAATTGTTGCTGCCAGGACAAGGAAATGGAAAAGCAGTTAGAGTTTGTTTACAATGCTTTGATGCAGCTAGTAAAGTAAAAGCCTCTTCACCGACTACTGATAGCCTGAATAACAAATATCAGCAGCGTAATTCTGCTGATAGTTCAGGAGGAGACAGCTCTGGTGACGATGATGATGGGAATAAGGAAGAAAATCATGATGAGGTGATAACTTTTATAAGACACTTGTGGTTTATTTTTATACACATGTTATTATATTATTGAAATATTTCTATTGTTTCAGCCTAAATTTTACTCTACACTTGCTCGATGAAGTTAACCAGATGATCATTAAACAAAGATACCTACAGATTAAGTCGTTATTCACAACTATATTTTTAAAAATTAAATAACATGAATTTCTTAGTAATAAACACTTTTAGTAACCGAATATCGCTAAAACTATTTTTAAATTATATTACTGCAGAGAACTAAGCAACAAATGTCTGTGTNAGACACTTGTGGTTTATTTTTATACACATGTTATTATATTATTGAAATATTTCTATTGTTTCAGCCTAAATTTTACTCTACACTTGCTCGATGAAGTTAACCAGATGATCATTAAACAAAGATACCTACAGATTAAGTCGTTATTCACAACTATATTTTTAAAAATTAAATAACATGAATTTCTTAGTAATAAACACTTTTAGTAACCGAATATCGCTAAAACTATTTTTAAATTATATTACTGCAGAGAACTAAGCAACAAATGTCTGTGT